ACACACACACACACACGCACACACACACACACACACACACACACACACACACACAGAGACACACAGAGACACACACACACACAGACACACAGACACACAGACACACAGACACACACACACACACACACACACACTTCCTGTGAGCTCAACCTGATCATCAGTGCCAGTGAATATGATACTGATCAAAGCGGATGTATGAACACACAGCAGCGTGATGAGTTTTATTACACCAGACACTAAAACACTCAGAATATCCCCACTACGAGCTTCAGCAGAGCTTCAGCAGAGCTTCAGCGATCCTCTAGTTATTCTTTACATTCACATCTGTGGATCAAACCTAGAATACTGCATTAAACATTCGCAAATAAAGCACCGTTTCCATCTCACGTGCTCAAAACAGTGCTGTTACTAGAACTTAAACCACTTCCTTAAAATAAAATACATTTTAACCAAAGTAAATAAAATATACAATTTCAAACTTGTTTTATTCCAGCTAGTTTCCAAGGCAACATCTCATTTTCATTTAGTTTAACTTGATGCACTAAAATAACTCAAACTGAAACTGAAACAAAAATGCAGACATATAAAAAAAAAAAGCTTGTAAAAATGACAACAAAAAAGAAAAACACGAAAATTCAAATGAAAACAGAAAATATAAAATTATAACAATTCCAAATATCAATAAAAGCTGTATAATAGTATCTCAATTATAGTAAAGCTACGCTGCTTCTTAATAAATTACTTAATGATTTGAACACAAATATTTTACAACATGGTTTGCATCAGTATTATTTTAGTATTGAGCTACTATTATAGATTTTGTTAATATTTTGAATTTCATTTTAATTTAAAAGTTTGAGTAATTTTGTCATTTCTATTAGTTTTTGTTTTTTATTCATTTTCATCTCAGTTTTCAATACTTAATGAAGTAGTTTTTTGCTGTGCATCAGGAATTTATTCAGTAAATGTGTTCTCCATCAGAGCTAATGCATGTTTTCTTATCAAATAAAAAATTATGTTTTTAATGCACATTGTAATATTTCATGTGCATTTTGCATTTCAGTGTTGTTTATGCAATATGCCAAAAATTTGCATGAAAATATGTGGCTGGAAATGTGAGATCACACACAAACCCCTGATCTGCACAGATCAGCAGAAAACAACAGACACCTTCAGTCTGTAAACAGCACTGAATAAAGCAGGATAGTGCATAACTATGATAACAGGAGGACTGTGAGGTGGTCTGACGGTGAACACTGAGCAGTGTGCACTAGTGAGGGTGTGCTGGAGACGCACCGGTGAGCGAGACGGTGGCCGGCAGACGAAACACAGCCTGCTGACCCTGAGACGGCTGAGACGCGCCGGACGATGACGCTGTAATGCTCTGACCGAGAGGAATCGCAGGAGTCCCGGGAGCAAACGGAGAGCCTGGACACACACAGCAGCAGAAACAAAGCATGCTGGGGTTTCATTATGCAGCATTATGCAGGCCAGACACCTTCAACAGTTCTCATTACATCACAGTTTATTCGCTGTAGTTTAGAAAAAGGTAATAAAATATGAGAAGAACTCGGAGTTAAAGTGTGTCAGAACAAACTCATCTTGATAATCTCAGATAACTTTGATAGAAAGGTATGGAATGAATTCTGTTGAATAGCTGTCAGCTGTTACATTTAAGAACACAATTAGATAAAACCAATTCAGCTCAACTAATTACCAAGCAGTGCTTCATTGTGTTCAGTCTGTGGTGTAAAAAGATGTATTAGCAATTAAAGAAAAGCACATGCTCAGTGTCTGAATAATTTTTTGTCCCAAATTGAACTGGGAGTGCACTGCATGAAGTATGTTTGGGTGTAATATGCCACAGTTTACTTTATTTTGCTATCCTCACTTACATTTATGAACTATAGTGTCCTGCACCCACTAGTAATAAAAAAATATTAAAAATGATATCTGCTGTCTGAATAATTTTTAGTTTGACTGTATGCTCAATGTTTTTGTTTTGAAGAACTTAACACTTCTATTCATCAAGGATGCTTTCAATTGATCAAAAGTGACGGTAAAGACATTTATAATGTTAGAAAAGATTTCTGTTTCAAATAAACGCTGTTCTTCTGAACTTTCTGTTCATCTGTGAATCCTGAAAAATAAAATGCATCAGTTTCCACAAAAATATTGTGCAGCACGACTGTTTTCAACATTGATAATAATCAGAAATGTTTCTCGAGCAGCAGATCAGCATATTATACTGATTTCTGAAGATCATGTGACACTGAAGACTGGAGGAATGATGCTGAAAATACAGCTGCGCATCACAGAAATACATTACAGTTTAACAGAGATTCACAGAGAAAACAGATATTTTAAACTAATAATATTTCACATTTTTACTGTATTTTTGATCAAATAAATGCAGCCTCGGTGAGCAGGAGACACTTCTTTTAGAAACATTTATTCTGAAACTGCTGGTCTGTGGGGTGTGCAGCTGTCAGGTTTAGGG